GAACTATAATAGGAGAGATAATATTGGAAAAATTTAATACCCTAATTATACTCCATATTAAATGCACGTTAATCAAAAAGCATGAGAGAGAAAAATCTGAAAAAATAAATAAACTTAAAAACGAAAATTAATTAATTTGTTATGTATGTAATTTAAAAACTATGTTTGTAATTAAATAGAAGTACATTGATATTTTGTTAATTAAAGTCTTAAGTAGTATACTTTTGTAATTTTCACTTTATTATTTTTCAAGTATGAGTATCCATTCGAATTTTCGCTCCTCATAATTAGAGTCTGTTTGAATTGATTTTTTTATTTTTGACTTTTGACTTAAAACTTATTAGATTGATCCAAACACTCTAAAAGTACTTTTAAATTATTTTGATTTAAAAACAATTAAAATAAGTTAATTCAAACAGGCTCTTCTCTCTCTACTTTATAATGGGTAGAAATTGAAGACTCATTACTTATTTGTGGCTGATTTGGATTAGGTTGGTTGAACTTTTTTGAAGCACACCAATTTTATTAACTTTTGCAGGTTTAGATTGAATCTAACTACTAAAAATTGTTATTAGAAGGTGGGATATCAAATTTAAAATCATATGGAGTTGATGTGGACCAGTTTGGATCATTGTAAAACAAAAATGTATCGATGAACTTTTTATGCAAGTCCTGGTCATGCGTTGCCAAGACCTATGAATAAATTAAATTTGTTCTAAAGTTACGGTATATTTCTTCTTTTTCCTTTTCTTTTTGTTGCTTTTGGTCTTCCTTCCTTCTTCTTTCATGATAAAAAAAAATTCAAAATTTTGATTTAAAAATTTATCGTATCGCAAACGTGAATCATTTCAAGTGAATTACATATCAAAGAACTCGAAATGTCGAGAAAATTTCATATCTAAAATTCGGGACTTCCTAGAGGTGATTTTGAGTTGGTCGAAATTGAATAACCAATGTATATTTCATGTATAATTAAGTTATATTTGAGTGTATAATAATGTATACTCAGTGTATAAGTAAACTATATTGTCTAATCAGTGTTTATTTTCTATGATTTTTTACTATAAATTTCGCAAATAGCCACTAAAGTAAACTTAATTAGGTTTCATAGCTATAATTTGCTAATTACGATTTGTAGCTACATGTTAGAGGTAGGAGGAGATAGGCGAGCGAGATTGGGAGAGGGAGAAGATGGGCGAGCTAGAGAAGGCATAGAGTGGAGAGAGACGAATTTTATATGTATATTTGTCGAATTGTATATGTAAATCTGTCAAATAATTGTATATATGTAACTAATATACATATGTATTTGTATATTTGGCGAGCGAGATTGGGAGAGGGAGAAGAGATGCGAGCGAGAGAGGACATAAGTGGAGAGAGGCGAATTGTATATGTATATCTGTCATATAGTTGTATATGTATAATTTGTATTTTTATATGTATATAAGAGGAGAGAGGCGAGAGAGAGGAAAAAAGGAGAGAGATGCACATAATGATAGCTAAAATTAAGTTGCAAATGGTAATTAATGGAAACTATAGTTATGTTAGCTAATTAACTAGTATATATTTGCTTATCCGCGTAATTTTTTCTTTTTATATATAATTAAAAACATGACTATATTTATTGTAAATTAGTTACTTTATTGTATATATTTGAAACTATCATTTTTTATCAACATAAAAATATCATTGTGCGTTGGTGATGTTTATACGAAAGAATTAAGGTATATTTATAAGGAGCAAAAATTTTGTTGTTCTTAACAAACAATATCGATAATTTAGATTTTATTGGCAAGAGCTGAAGAACCCTGAATTAGCTTTATGTAATTCTTTTGACATGCTTGGTACTTAATTCCAAAAGGAGCTACGAGTCTCTTTCGTGCATAACATGTTTTATTCACTATTAATTATTATGTTAGGTAGGACCAAAATAAATAAAAATCTTTGGAGGATCTTGGCGTATCCAAGATGGGGTCTTCGAGTTCACGTGAACTCATGTTCTCCTTCCAAGATCATATATATATATATATATAATTGTATTTAATTTAGAGCAAAACTTAAAAATCATTTAATCAAACACCACTTAAAATTTATTAATATTAATAATATTTTAATATTTATTTACAATAATGAGATAATTTACGATCACAGAAAAATATATAACTTATTTTTCAATTAAAAAAAATTAAAATCACTTAACTAACACCACCTAAAAAATAATATTTATAAATAAATATTGAGCATGTATACAACACTAATTTTTCTTCACTAGTATTAACAAAAAACAAAGTCATGGTCAAAGAATATGGTGCAGTGAATGAAACCTCTCCTTTCTTAACAAGAAGTTTCAAATTCAAACCCTCGATATGAATTTTTTTTTATAAAAAGCGCTTCCCTAATAAGCGAAATTCAAGGAGCCCACAAAATATGAGTCCCGATGTTGCCTCACTATATCCTCCAAAAGTCAATTTGATTAATTTTTAAAGTTAAATTAGATTATATTAATTCGATATTTTAAACAAAAAATTTAGATATTACAAAACTATATGAAAAATATTATAAATTGCATTTTTTTACATATTAATTTAGTGAAAAAATATATATTGTAAAATGTTAGTCAAAATTTTATAGTTTGACTCTATAAAAAGAAATAATAACAAATAAAAGTGGACAAAAAGAGTTGTTGGTGACAAAAAAATTTTATTATGTGCCTCAGATAATTAACTACACAAGTTGTACAAGACGTTAGTATTTTATTTCACAATTAGTGACCCAAAACTTATAAAGACCCAAATCACCACGCAACTTGCATTAATTGCATGAGACACAAACAAAAAAAAACAAAAAATTCATGATCAGTTTGAATATCCTAGTTCACCCTCAACTACTCATAAATAATTTCAATATCATCAATAATTGAGGTTAAGATTAAAGTTTTCGAAGCTATCATATTAAAGATAAAATTAGAACTATTATATTTTGAGTTATATATGGTTATGGTTATTGCAAAAATAAAGAAAAGTGAGTTAGAAATAATTTATAAGCAAATTCTCACTTTAAGTAAGATTTAAGAAAGTTCATTTTAAAATAAAATTAAAAATTAAAAAATTAATTTTTACAAGCAAGTGGGTTTGAAGCAGCGGGTTTTGGAAACGAAGGGGTACTCAACTTTTCTTGAAGATTAATTACAGTGTGTCTATTGAAAGGGATTGGATTTTAAGAAATTTATTATATATATATAAAATATTAAATTTAAAAATTAATTATTATTATTTAAAATTGTTATTATAAAATTTAAGATTCATAAAATTAAAATTCTAATTTCTTCTCTGAATTTGACGTTTAACCATGACAATAACTTCTTTATCTTCAATCATGTTCTTAAACAAGTGGTTCTTCCATCATAGTCTTACAGACGCAACGCGTTTTATTAATTTGTAGTGAGATTTTATTTATTTTTATTTGACAATAAATTTTAACAATAATGTATCCTTTCACTTTTCTTAAAATTGTTACATAAGAAGGAAAATGTTATATAAAATAAAATAGAGATTAAATATTATTAACGTTCCTACTGTGTACCACGTTTTACACCACATGAAGAACATAATTTCTTATCAAACTTATACAACAGAAACGAAAAAAATGACTGTTTCAAGTTTTTATATGTAAAAATATTTAAAAAAATTAATAAAAATGACATAGAATTAAAAATAACTTTGTAAGGGCTGCGAATTAAACTAATTTATGAGTGGTAAGTTCTCCTTCATTCTTAACCAGATGTTTCAGGTTCGAAAACAATTTGTTTGTGCATATTAATGTGTAATTCCAATTTTATTTTTTTAAAATTATGTACTTCCTCCGTTCTAATTTATGTGACGTAATTTGACTTGATACAGAGCTTACGAAAAAAAGAAAGACTTATAAAATTTATGGTGTAAAATAACTCATAGATGTTTATGTGACTATAAATCATTTCATTAAGATAAAATGAGAATTTTTTAACTTAAATTATTATTAATATATAGAAATACATCATTTTTTCAGACTAATTAAAAAAAAAAGTAAATCATACTACCTCCCTCCACTTTTAATTGTCATGTTGCGTTTTTTGAAAGTCAATTTGATTAACTTTTAAAGTTAAATTAGATTACACTAATTTGATATTTTAAACAAAAAAATTCAGATATTCAAAACCTATATGAAAAATGCTATGTATAAATTGCATTTTTTTTGTATATCAATATAATGAAAAATTATATCGAAAAATAATAGTCAAAGTTTAATTCTATAAAAAAATTATGATAATTAAAAATAGACGGAAGGAGTAAAAGCTAAAAGGGAGAGAAAGTAGCATTTAATCCACTTGTTAGAGCAAAAACAAGGGAGGATTCAAATGAGATCCCACAATGGACTTGAATTGGTGTCATTCATTAATGCACACCTCTATTAAACAACGACTGCCTTTCATTTACTGTTAATTAGTATAAGAACTTTATTATATGATGAGCATTTGTAATGTTTGGATATAACATACCACTCAGTTCTTTTTAAGTTGTCATAGTTTTTTTTTTGAGAGTCAAACGATATGAATTTTAACTAAATATTTTTAGATATATTTTTTCATCATATTGATAGAAAAAATTATAATTTATAGTACTTTAATTTCCATATAGCTTTTGAATATTTAAAATTTTATTTTAAAATATTAAATGAATGTAATCTTATTTAGCTTTGATAATTAGACAATTTGACTCTCAAAAAGCGCAACATGACAAACAAAAAGGAACAAAAGAGTACCTATTAACAAAATAATAACTGATATGACTATATTATCACACTATTCTTATTAGTTAATATTTAGTAATAAGTCTTGAAAAATGATTTGGAAAATATATGAAAAAATTGTCTTTTCTTGATACATATTAAAAGTGACAAGTAATAAAAATGAAAATCTCATTTTAAAATAATGGACAGGTAAAATTGAACGGAGGATGGATTATTAATTAACTTAATGGTATTCTAAAGCTTTATAAATAGCAGGGACACACTTTCTTAGTTTTAAAAGAGAGCCAAGTAACTAGCAAGAAATTAGAAGGTATATTCTGATTTTCTTTTAATAATTCAGTATTGCATGGAAGTAGCTTGCTATATGTATATTTTGCTTATAAAAAGTGACTAGTAAGTGTGGAATATGTTTTCAATTACCATTTTAATTAACTTAGAAAACAAATATTACTTTTTTTTTCTTTCAAATTTTACATTTTTTACGTCCAAACATCTACTAAAAAAAACTTATTTTTCTAGAAACCATTTTCCTTCCTACGGGTCGTTATAAGTTTGTCATTTGAGCTCAAACTAACACCTATTTGTTCAATTTTGTTTTTTTTTCTCTTCACTATATAGTAACTTTAAAGAAGAAGAAAAATGGTTGGATTTTGTGGTGAAGTGGAGATTACACGTCAATGTGCCAATCATCATCCTTCTGTTTGGGGAGACCATTTTCTTACCTATGCTAATCTCTTGGTAATTAATTGCTTGATTTATATTGTGAATATTATTCATGATTTTTAACAAATCATATGTATAGATAGCATAGTAACAAATTTTGAAATTTACTTGTGTAGGGAACCAATGAATGGGAAGAGAAGGAAGATGAAGACCAAAAAGGAGGAGTGAGAAAAATGCTAGGGATGGCTCCTTCCAATTCATTGCAAAAATTTGACCTCATCAACACAATACAATTGCTTGGAGTGGCATACCATTTTGAGCATTATATTGAGGAATCATTGAGTGAAATCTTTAATGATTATGAAGAATGGATTGGTGAATTTGGTGAAAGTGACCTTCATGTTGTTGCTCTAAGCTTTCGATTACTTAGTCAACAAGGTTATTATGTCTCATCGGGTACGTACCCCCCTCCCCAAACATATATCAACTAGACATTATGCGATGAGTTTTAGTTGTTGGTGAAAAAATATTTGCATAATCAGATCACTTATATGTTTCTGAGCAGATGCTTTTAGGAAATTCATTAACGAGCAAGGAAGCACTAGCCAGGGACGTACAAGGATTATTGAGCTTGTACGAGGCAGCGTAATTCAGAGTACATGATGAAGAAATTCTGGATGAAGCAATTAATTTCACCACTACTCATTTGAAGCTAATTTTGCCTAATTTGAGCGATTCCCTTGCGACTCAAGTCAGTAACGCACTGAAATTTCCAATCAACAATATTATAGTGAGGGTAGGAACAAGGAAATACATATCATTTTACCAAGAAGATGAATCACACAATGAAATGTTACTAAATTTTGCTAAATTGGACTTCAACATCTTACAAAGGTTGCACAAAAGGGAGCTATGTGATATCACAAGGTAATTGACAAACTCCCTTATTGAGTAAGAAAATGATGAAATCCATTGATAACAAACTCTCAAAGAATTTACGAGAAGTATTTGTACATACGATTGAGAGATCACATGGCATTTTGATGCATATCATCTCATGGTTTTGCATTACATCTCATCATATCGTTTATTCTCGTTTGATTGTGTGCTTCATTGAGGTTTGGGCATTACGTGACATTTGATTATTCCTATTTGGTGAAAGTTGACTAATAAGTACAATGTAGACTTGTAATATTAGAGAATGATTTCTTATATACTCCTATCATTACTTCTTCGTTATCGGTCTATGAGAGTCACGACCCAAAAATGGACGTGATGGCACTCATCTTATCCCACCAAGACAAGTCAGCCTAAAACTCAACCATTACAATAAAATGCGGAAATTTTATAATCAACTCAAAAATACCCCCAAAATCTGGTTGTCACGTGTACAAGCCTCTAAAGTATCACAATTGAATCAAAAGAAAAATACAAGTCTCATATTACATTGTTTCTAGAGTAGAACAAGATCATAAACAAAAGTAAGAAGGTCTGCTGAGTTGACAAGCAGCTACCTCACAAATCTCCAAGAAGTCTTGGAAAAGAAGAGAATGACAAGTACCACAAAAATCCAGACTCGTAACCTACAAAAATTTGTAGAAGCAAGGGGTGAGTACCAAACCACACGGTACTCAGCAAGTAAACCTCTAAACACGAGCTAAGGCGATAGAATACAAGTACTCCTTACACCCCAACCGAACCTTCACAACTAAAATTTGTATAAAACTAGCCCAACCTAACAGTTCACAATTTACATAGC